TCTCCGTGTCTCAACGTGGCAGCTATGCTGCAGAACATCTCCACTATAGCACATGGAGCTTCCCTCTCGAGGCACACTGCACCCCAGCCATCTATGGAGCTGCCTGCTCTGCCATCTCCATATGCTGTTCCCTGCTGGCTGGGACACAGGGTGCCTTAGCGTGGGGGCTGCCTGCTGGCTAGCCCAACACTGAAGCTTCCTGTGCCCCAGCCAGGACGTGGAGCAACGGGACAATGTGTCCTGCTGCAATTCGCACAGGCAGAGGTGCGCACTGCAGCGCAGGGTAGCAGCACAAATTTGTGCTGCTACTGTTTGTGCTACTGCAAATGCATGCTCCTGCACATAGGAGAGAGCACATTGTGAGTGAGTCATTCTGAAACAGCAACTGTCCTGAGTTAACAATGAGCTTAACTCTTCAGAAGGGGCATAGTTTACTCTTAGGCTCGGCATATTACGTGAGACTTATTTTCTAAAAGTGTGGCACCATTGCTGTCTGTGCTGCATTTCTACTCTGCAATAAACAGGATGTGGGTAGCAAGCACATTTTAGCCAACTTACTTTCCAGATATTATGGTCTTAGCTTGGATAGGAAAATCTACAGGTAAATCAAAGGCACCAGTTTACTCCAGCACAGAGTTGCTCCTACTGTTAAAGGACCTTCACGGCATTCATCACAATAATCACTTGTACTTTACATACAGCGTAACGTATAAGAGGTTTCTGTATTTGTAGCTGAAAGAGATAGTACATGTTGTTTCTTTTCATGGAATCTTAATATAAAGAAAGACTACAGAAAAATCTGAGGGAAACCTGAAAGAATCTGCACATCTTATTTCTCCTGACTTTATTATTGTGATTATTATTAACACCTGGAGCTTAGTAGCTACAAAAATTATGTAAAAAATCCAACCTGTTCTTAGAATCATAGAATCACTGAGTGGGAAGGGACCTAGACAGATCATCTAGTCCGACCCCCTGCCATGGGCAGGAAGGAGCACTGGGGGTGGCAGGGGTCATAAGACCCAGCCAGGTGCCTATCCAGTCTCCTCTTGAAGATCTCCAGGGAAGGTGAGAGCACCACCTCTCTGGGAAGCCTATTCCAGGCTCTGGCCACCCTTACCGTGAAGTAGTTCTTCCTAATATC